CCGAATTTTTGATGAATTTTTATATCGCAGATGCTGCGAAGGTTTGTTTTGCCCATATGTTAAAGTGCATTCTTTGCTTTCTGATGTCTAAAAAAAGAAAAACAGTAAATTCATCTAAGACTATGTACACTTCATGTCATGATTACAGCAGTTATCATAATACAAAGTGCTCTTGAAAAGGGTAGATAACGATATCAGCTGATCTGTGCATTGTTTACATTTAAATTGCAGTTTTACTCAAAAAATCAAAGTTCGATACTTCATGATGTTATTCCCTCTTCCCTCCCTTGCCGCATGGTTTTTCAACCCAAATACTTTCCTAAATCGATTATAGCGCGAAGTACCCACCTCACTTATTTTTGATGCTAATTGGGTTCAATCCGGGAATCATCGAAGTGCACATGCCATTGTAGCACGTTTAAGATGAAGTATTGAGAGTTTTTAATCTGATCTATTTATCATCTTGAAATTTTGAGATCAAGGAAGGTTTGATTCTTTTCTGATAGATCAGAACTATGGTTGGGGACAAGTTTGGTTGATGGGGGACTGGTGTTTCTTTCTTGGAACAATGTACATAGAATCTGAGTAAGGTAATGGCTCTGTGCGGGAATCGAAAGCCCGCCATGAGGACGAGGCTCACATATTCTAACCACTAAACCAAAGAGTCTTGATAAAATAGATGATTGAACATAAGTTAAACCAAAACAAAGTTCGATACTTCATGATGTGATTCTCTCCTCCCTCATTTACAAAATCATTTTTCCACCCAAATACTCTCCTAAATCGAGTATATCGCCAAGTACCCACCTCAATTAACTATGATGCTAGTTTGGTTTAATCCGGGAATCAGCGAACTACACATACAGGGGCGGATCTAGGATCTAGGATTTTATCGAGGGGGGGGATTTTCAAAAAAAATTCGAAAATTTCGATGACCTTTTTTTTAGGTCGACCAAATTGATTTTTCGAGCTCTCCCAAAGCACTGTTTTGCCCCTATTTTGGCTAAATTTTCTGCGCCGCAGGCTAAATTTTTGAAAAACCAGTCGAAAAAGCCGTTTTTGGGCACTTTTTGAAAAATTTTGACAAAAGAATCGCGTTTTTTTTTGGCGCGCGCTCCCCCTCAAAGTTGGTATATATTGGCGCTGAAGGCGCCTTTAAAAAAATTTCAGGGTCGGTCGGCCAAAAATGGATTTCTGAAAAAGTATCAAAGGGGGGACCCTTTGGGTTGGCAGGGGGTCGAATCCCTGAGGCCCCCCCCCCTAAATCCGCCCCTGTACACATACCATTGTAGCCCGTGTAAGCTGAAGTTCAATACTTCATGATGTTATTCCCTCTTCCCTCCCTTGCCGCATGGTTTTTCAACCCAAATACTTTCCTAAATCGATTATAGCGCGAAGTACCCACCTCACTTATTTTTGATGCTAATTGGGTTCAATCCGGGAATCATCGAAGTACACATACCATTGTAGCACGTTTAAGATGAAGTATTGAGAGTTTTTAATCTGATCTATTTATCATCTTGAAATTTTGAGATCAAGGAAGGTTTGATTCTTTTCTGATAGATCAGAACTATGGTTGGGGACAAGTTTGGTTGATGGGTGACTGGTGTTTCTTTCTTGGAACATTGTACATAAAATCTGAGTAAGGTAATGGCTCTGTGCGGGAATCGAAAGCCCGCCATGAGGACGAGGCTCACATATTCTAACCAGTAAACCAAAGAGTCTTGATAAAATAGATGATTGAACATAAGTTGAACCAAAACAAAGTTCGATACTTCATGATGTTATTCTCTCCTCCCTCATTTACAAAATTATTTTTCCACCCAAATACTCTCCTAAATCGAGTATAGCGCCAAGTACCCACCTCAATTAACTATGATGCTACTTGGGTTTAATCCGGGAATCAGCGAACTACACATACAGGGGCGGATCTAGGATTTTATCGAGGGGAGGATTTTCATAAAAAATTCGAAAATTTCGATGACCTTTTTTTTGAGGTCCACCAAATGATTTTTCGAGCTCTCCCAAAGCACTGTTTTGACCCTATTTTGGCTAAATTTTCTGCACCGTTGGCAAATTTTTGAAAAATCTGTCAAAAAAGCCGTTTTTGGGCACTTTTTGAAAAATTTTGACAAAAGAATCGCGTTTTTTTCGGCGCGCGCTCCCCCTCAAAGTAAGTATATAATGGCGCCAAAGGCGCCTCTAGAAAAATTTAAGGGTCGGTCGGCTAAAGATGGATTTCTGAAAAAGTATCAAAGGGGGGACCCTTTGGGTTGGCAGGGGGTCGAATCCCTGAGCCCCCCCCCCCCTAAATCCGCCCCTGTACACATACCATTGTAGCCCGTGTAAGCTGAAGTTCGATACTTCATGATGTTATTCCCTCTTCCCTCCCTTGCCGCATGGTTTTTCAACCCAAATACTTTCCTAAATCGATTATAGCGCGAAGTACCCACCTCACTTATTTTTGATGCTAATTGGGTTCAATCCGGGAATCATCGAAGTGCACATGCCATTGTAGCACGTTTAAGATGAAGTATTGAGAGTTTTTAATCTGATCTATTTATCATCTTGAAATTTTGAGATCAAGGAAGGTTTGATTCTTTTCTGATAGATCAGAACTATGGTTGGGGACAAGTTTGGTTGATGGGGGACTGGTGTTTCTTTCTTGGAACAATGTACATAGAATCTGAGTAAGGTAATGGCTCTGTGCGGGAATCGAAAGCCCGCCATGAGGACGAGGCTCACATATTCTAACCACTAAACTAAAGAGTCTTGATAAAATAGATGATTGAACATAAGTTAAACCAAAACAAAGTTCGATACTTCATGATGTGATTCTCTCCTCCCTCATTTACAAAATCATTTTTCCACCCAAATACTCTCCTAAATCGAGTATATCGCCAAGTACCCACCTCAATTAACTATGATGCTAGTTTGGTTTAATCCGGAAATCAGCGAACTACACATACAGGGGCGGATCTAGGATCTAGGATTTTATCGAGGGGGGGATTTTCAAAAAAAATTCGAAAATTTCGATGACCTTTTTTTTAGGTCGACCAAATTGATTTTTCGAGCTCTCCCAAAGCACTGTTTTGCCCCTATTTTGGCTAAATTTTCTGCGCCGCAGGCTAAATTTTTGAAAAACCAGTCGAAAAAGCCGTTTTTGGGCACTTTTTGAAAAATTTTGACAAAAGAATCGCGTTTTTTTTTGACGCGCGCTCCCCCTCAAAGTTGGTATATATTGGCGCTGAAGGCGCCTTTAAAAAAATTTCAGGGTCGGTCGGCCAAAAATGGATTTCTGAAAAAGTATCAAAGGGGGGACCCTTTGGGTTGGCAGGGGGTCGAATCCCTGAGGCCCCCCCCCTAAATCCGACCCTGTACACATACCATTGTAGCCCGTGTAAGCTGAAGTTCAATACTTCATGATGTTATTCCCTCTTCCCTCCCTTGCCGCATGGTTTTTCAACCCAAATACTTTCCTAAATCGATTATAGCGCGAAGTACCCACCTCACTTATTTTTGATGCTAATTGGGTTCAATCCGGGAATCATCGAAGTACACATACCATTGTAGCACGTTTAAGATGAAGTATTGAGAGTTTTTAATCTGATCTATTTATCATCTTGAAATTTTGAGATCAAGGAAGGTTTGATTCTTTTCTGATAGATCAGAACTATGGTTGGGGACAAGTTTGGTTGATGGGGGACTGGTGTTTCTTTCTTGGAACATTGTACATAAAATCTGAGTAAGGTAATGGCTCTGTGCGGGAATCGAAAACCCGCCAATAGGACGAGGCTCACATTTTCTAACCAGTAAACCAAAGAGTCTTGATAAAATAGATGATTGAACATAAGTTGAACCAAAACAAAGTTCGATACTTCATGATGTTATTCTCTCCTCCCTCATTTACAAAATTATTTTTCCACCCAAATACTCTCCTAAATCGAGTATAGCGCCAAGTACCCACCTCAATTAACTATGATGCTACTTGGGTTTAATCCGGGAATCAGCGAACTACACATACAGGGGCGGATCTAGGATTTTATCGAGGGGAGGATTTTCATAAAAAATTCGAAAATTTCGATGACCTTTTTTTTGAGGTCCACCAAATGATTTTTCGAGCTTTCCCAAAGCACTGTTTTGACCCTATTTTGGCTAAATTTTCTGCACCGTTGGCAAATTTTTGAAAAATCTGTCAAAAAAGCCGTTTTTGGGCACTTTTTGAAAATTTTTGACAAAAGAATCGCGTTTTTTTTCGGCGCGCGCTCCCCCTCAAAGTTAGTATATAATGGCGCCGAAGGCGCCTTTAGAAAAATTTAAGGGTCGGTCGGCTAAAAATGGATTTCTGAAAAAGTATCAAAGGGGGGACCCTTTGGGTTGGCAGGGGGTCGATTCCCTAAGGCCCCTCCCCCTTAAATCCGCCCCTGTACACATAACATTGTAGCCCGTGTAAGCTGAAGTATTGGGAGTTTTTAATCTGATCTATTTACTATCTTGAATTTTTTGAGATCAAGGAAGGTTTGATTCTTTTCTGATAGATCAGAACTATAGTAACTCGATGTCTATATCAAGTTTCACTGGTTAACGAAAATGGTGGTTATGTGCAAAAAAATATTTGGCCATTTTTTAGTCGAATAAGTAGCCCTTTATTTATTTATTAGCTGGCTGAAGTTTATAACACTATGAACACAGAAAGCCCAAGAAAAGTGAATTACACTTGGCTCCCAAAATTAATGGCTTTCAAAATGAAACCTAGTCTCATAAGCACTAATCTAGTCCTAGTTGAGTTCATATTGATATGAATTTCAGCCAGCTAAAAACTATTACCATCATTTGAGCTTTTTTATGCGCGAGCTGCTTTAGAAAAAAGTGGGTTCGTAATATGACAAAACGCTCACTGGCTGTGGTGGGTGGGGTGGGGTGGGGGGGCTGATGTTTGTTTTTTGGAGCCACGTATATAGAAGCTGAGGGTAATTCACTTTTCTCTATTATCACGACAGCCAAGTTCGGATTGTTTTGTAGATAGTTTCGGATGGCAGCTTTCGAAATGATAGAATGTCAGTTCATTGAAGTGCAGAGACTCCTGGAGCGGCCAAGTGCTGCATTCTCAAATGAGAAGATGTTCGAAGCTGACCCGCAGTTGTTTGCAGCGCTGCGAGGCGCCATCCAAATTCTGGTTCTTGGGGCAGGTGGATTGGGATGTGAACTGCTAAAGGACCTGGCGATGTTGGGCTTCGAGAACCTGCACGTGATTGACATGGACACCATCGATCTATCCAATTTGAATCGACAGTTCTTATTCAGATATTGTAAGTAAACGTTTTAGGTCAGGTTTTTTTTGTCAGAGTTCTTTATACAGCCTTTTCTAATCGATATATCCCACTTGATCATTTTAGTTTTTCAAGACAGAAATTATCCTTTTCGCGGTCACCGATGGGGAATGATGGCATTCTAGACAGCTGTGAAATTCCGCTATCTAGAAAGTGTCTGATAAATGGGCTCTTAAAATGAGTTCTTAAATTATTTACAAATCGCGCTAGCGAGCATATTATTATTCTACGAATTCACTTTTATCTAACGCAACTCGCACATAAAAGTGCTCGACAAAGTAATCGCATATGTTCTATTTGCTATAGTTATGGCTAATTTTTGCGGTTAGTCAAGCAACCATGGCGAAGATGCTAGGACATTAAATCATCTGCTAAGTTGCTAATACTATCATTCAGCAAAAGTGTCATCATCAATATAATACGCTCGCTAGCTTAGTTTTAAGAAAATGCGTAGCTTAGAAAATGTTTTAAGAAGCTTATGAATCTGCTGAATTTTATCAAGACATTTTCTAAAGTGCAGTGTTTCACAGTAACCGACAAGGTTTTATGATGTTCGCTAACATTAATTTAAAAAAATTAAGAATAAATTATTGTTAGTGAACATCGTAAGTCAGATTTTTTGTAAGAGTTAATTTTACGGTTTTTCCTAATCGATATACCCGATTCGATCAATGTAGTTTTTCAAGACAGAAATGATTTATTTCGCGCTACTGATGGGGATTAATGACATGCAATGCAATTGGAGCTAGGAGATTCTGCTTTCCAGAAAGTGTTTTGATAAATGAGCTTCGGAATTATTTCAAAAGCTTGCGATCATATTTTTATACTGCGAGTTCACTTTTCTGACACAGTTCGCACAATTGATAGCATAGCATTAGCAATCTGATAGCATTGGCATCTGTTCTGTTTGCTATACTTATGGCTCTTTTTTGCGTTTTCTCAAGCAGTCATTGTGCAGATGCGAGGACGCGAAGTTCCTCGTATCTAGGTCAATTCTTTTTAATCAGTTTTTATTTCGTGTCAAAAAAATCCGTAATAAAAAAATTGACCAATTTTCTGCCAGTGACAAAAGAATTGTATCGTACAACAGTTTTCTTTCCAATATTAAATGGCCGGTTTCTTGATGTATATGTTCTTCTGGCTGAAACTCGATAAAAATAGTAATTAGTTCCAGGGGCGGATCCAGGATTTTCTCCGGGGGGGTTGCGGATTTTCAATAATTTTTCCAAAATTTTGACGACCTTTTTTTTAGGTCGACCAAATTGATTTTTCGAGCTCTCCCAAAGCACTGTTTTGGCCTTATTTTGGCAAAGTTTTCAGCGCCGCAGGCAAATTTTTGAAAAAACAGTCAAAAAAGCCGTTTTTGGGCACTTTTTGAAAAATTTTGACAAAAGAATCGCGTTTTTTTCGGCGCGCGCTCCCCCTCAAAGTTAGTATATAATGGCGCCGAAGGCGCCTTCAGAAAAATTTTAGGGTCGGTCGGCTAAAAATGGATTTCTGAAAAAGTATGAAAGGGGGGACCCTTTGGGTTGGCAGGGGGTCGAATCCCTGAGGGCCCGCCCCCCCCCCTAAATCCGCCCCTGTACACATACCATTGTAGCCCGTGTAAGCTGAAGTTCGATACTTCATGATGTTATTCCCTCTTCCCTCCCTTGCCGCATGGTTTTTCAACCCAAATACTTTCCTAAATCGATTATAGCGCGAAGTACCCACCTCACTTATTTTTGATGCTAATTGGGTTCAATCCGGGAATCATCGAAGTGCACATGCCATTGTAGCACGTTTAAGATGAAGTATTGAGAGTTTTTAATCTGATCTTTTTATCATCTTGAAATTTTGAGATCAAGGAAGGTTTGATTCTTTTCTGATTGATCAGAACTATGGTTGGGGACAAGTTTGGTTGATGGGGGACTGGTGTTTCTTTCTTGGAACAATGTACATAGAATCTGAGTAAGGTAATGGCTCTGTGCGGGAATCGAAAGCCCGCCATGAGGACGAGGCTCACATATTCTAACCACTAAACCAAAGAGTCTTGATAAAATAGATGATTGAACATAAGTTAAACCAAAACAAAGTTCGATACTTCATGATGTGATTCTCTCCTCCCTCATTTACAAAATCATTTTTCCACCCAAATACTCTCCTAAATCGAGTATATCGCCAAGTACCCACCTCAATTAACTATGATGCTAGTTTGGTTTAATCCGGGAATCAGCGAACTACACATAAAGGGGCGGATCTAGGATCTAGGGTTTTATCGAGGGGGGATTTTCAAAAAAAATTCGAAAATTTCGATGACCTTTTTTTTTTCAGGTCGACCAAATTGATTTTTCGAGCTCTCCCAAAGCACTGTTTTGACCCTATTTTGGCAAAATTTTGTGCGCCGCAGGCTAAATTTTTGAAAAAACTGAAAAAAGCCGTTTTTGGGCACTTTTTGAAAAATTTTGACAAAAAAATCGCGTTTTTTTTGGCGCGCGCTCCTCCTCAAAGTTAGTATATATTGGCGCCAAAGGCGCCTTTAGAAAAATTTTAGGGTCGGTCGACCAAAAATGGATTTCTGAAAAAGTATCAAAGGGGGGACCCTTCGGGTCGGCAGAGTGGAACCTGATCTAAACTACATTTTATGATTGGATAATTTAGATATTTTACCAATGTAAAGTATTTAATATTAACCAATCATGATCCATCTAACTAACAACCCACTTATTTGTAAGTGCTGAAGTTACTTGTAATTTCAGCACCAGAGAGATTTGAATTTAACTTAGAAATTAGTTGGACTCTCCCGAGCACTTCAGCAGCCGCAATAAACCAGTATACCCTAGATCTATTGAGCCTAGCAGAGACTAGTTAAACAACCTGAGACTAGATAGTATAAGAGTAAGATTAGGATCGGTATTAGACTAAGAAGTTGCACGAATCTATCCGGCCGAAAATAAGATAGCGTGACGAGCAGACGGTGTACCCTATCCGAAATTACTCTATGAGTTAACCACATAGGTCCTAACTCATCTGGTGCGACCATAAGTCTCGAACAAGACCTTAATAGCTTAGAATTAACCAAAATAGATTAGAAATTAGACAAAAACATTTACAAAATGTTATACGACAATAATTTAATCGAAATGTCTCTACGACTCAATAGATCAGAGCCAATATTCCGAACCATAACAGAACTACCCGGAATTGGAAGAAGACCTCGAACCAGAGACGACATACGACAAAGTAGAAACTTGCCATATAGCTATATGATAGTTCGGCAAAAGCCAGAACAAACTTTTATATTTAGAATACTACTAGCAATGAATTTAGATTTTCATTTACAAACATAAAACCTTGAAGTTAAACTTCAAAATCATTTCAGGCGCTAAACAAAATTATTAATATACAATAACGATTGATAAAAAGATCTAAGATCGTTTTCCTAAATTCTGCAGTAATATACAAAACATGTTTGAAAAATATTTATTGAAAAATAAAAAATAAAAATTAGTAGCATGACAATAAATGGTTAGTAATCATAAATCATCCTGTTGTTCCAGCTCCATCATCTAAAACATAACAGCAATCATAAACCCACTAATATCATCAAAACACTAAATCTTTCCTTTACACACATTAAAAATTTTATTAAAACTTAAATTCACTTAATTTTAAAACCAGATCATCAAGGCTTATCCTTGGATCTTAAATCATTTTCTACTTAATTAAATTTCAAATTTGATCATCAAGGCTTATCCTTGGATCAAACAGAACAACTTTGTTCTCCCCCACCCACTTAATTAGTGTCTAACGACCTCAAACGTCGATTCACTACCCAACCCTTTCTAAATACCTAAGACTAATAGAAATTTTTAAACAAAACTAATCATTCAAATTAGGATAAACAGTGAAGAACTTCGGTTATTCATCCTTCACTTGACCCCCCCTCTTAACAGACCCAGGATAAATCTTAGACTTAGTAAGTTTAAAATAGTACCTAACGAACTACTCGCGTTCTAATTATACCTGAACCTTGTGGATCGATTTACTATTCTCCAACCCTTGAACACAATCACTACCCCTAAGTAAGATTAAGTAAGTTAACACCTTAACTTATACTAGCCACGAGAAAGTAAAAAATCATTCTTCGGAATCGATATACTTTTCTCTCCAACCCTGAACAAATAGACCCAGGTTAAGCTAACCAAAAAATCGTAAGAACTAACAGTTTAAGAAAATAGAAACCATTTAACAACCTTTTGCATCCGTCATCCTAAACCTTATGTCATTTAAAAACCTAGGAAATAAACAAACAATCGTTTTACACAATTGTGAAATAGATAACAAAAAATACGACCTTGTAATCACACCTCATACACAAACAGTTGGATACATTCGAACAAAACGACAAACACTAAAAAGAAAAATAATAACTAAACAAAGACAAATAACACGAAAAAGATTTTCAAAAAATCGAAACGCATTTTCAGAATCAGAAACCAACAGTTTAGACGAACTTTACAAACTAAAAGAATCAATAGATAAAAATTGCCCAATTCACGATCAATTATATTTCTCTGACTCAGAAACAACTTCAAATTCATCAAAAAGAGGAAAAAGAAGAATAAAAAAGCAGTATAAACACAAACCAGTACATTTATACAATTGGAATCAACCAATTAGACACATTGATAATTACATATTAACAGTCATCGAACGAAAAAATGAGCTCAACGCACACCCCAGGTGAAGAAAGTCCAGATGATGATGAAATCTTTCCTTTTATAGTAGATGCAGATACCGATAGAGGACAGCATATATTTTGCAAAAATCTACTATTAAATTTATTTGAACCCGGAATCAGTCCATGTAAAACAGAGTTCCCAGATGTAAAAATCAAAAGACAAATCATAGACCACTACTTAAAAGATATATGCAACATAACACAACAATATGGAATCTACTCCATAGAATTCACCTCACCAAACCATAATAATAGA